CGACTTTTTTAACGTTTTATCGCGTTACGGAGTATAATATGTGTATATATACATGAATGCATAACGTACACCGACACTGAAAAAACAGAACACACGTAGACCACATGTGTCTATGTATATACATATATATACAATTCATATATACGCGCGTGCGTGGGAGTGTGCGTGTGCATGTTTGACCGGAGTGCAGCAAGAATGTAAATAATAAAGACCGTATTATACGATTATCCACTGGGGATCTATAATTGCCAAGTGTATAACTCACATACAATACATGCATCTATATATCTATATATACATATATACAGACACATGTAATTATTATATGTGTGTGTGTATATATACATATATAAATTATATAATATGAGTTCGATGCACAATAGCGACAATCGCATTATCCTGTGCGATTTTCTGGCGAGCGAGTTTTTGCACCACTTTGTTCGTGAATTTTCCTGCAAAATGGTGTCTAAACGAATTTACGAATATTACTAATAAAAACGACAGCTCAATTTTTTATTCTTTCTCGCTTCTTTGGATTCCGGCACAATTGGATTAACAGTGTTGCTCTAAATCCACAGTTGCCTGGATCCCTTTCTTCGATCTTTTCATATATGCTTCCTCAAATCCCAAATCTCTCCCTCAAAATTTTACTTTGTTTTTAAGAAATTACCCATACTATCGTCAATAATCATCGATAAAAAAAAATTCACCAACAAAAAGGCGGTGCAAAATTGTGATGAGAGCATCATAAACGATTGACATTTCTCATTAACCCTTTCTGGACACGTATGTCATGTTTGTTCTTAGTTACCCAGAATACTCTGATCAGATTCCACGCCATTTTTTAGCCTGATAAGTAACCCTATTTTTTCATTTAAGAATAGATAAGTTAAGATTAAGAAGATAAAAGCGAGAGAAATTTCGTGAATCTTAATTTTTGTGGGGTTTGACAGGGCCCTGTTTTTCGGACACATACACAGGAAGGGTTAACCCTTCCATCGCACCGCTGTAATTGATGCATTTACTAAAAAGGATCAGTATAGAGAAGCGCCGCAGGATAATGCCCAGAGAGATTGCTCGATTGTTGAAGAGGAATGTTCCGCGCTGACGTTGAGCTTATAAAGTTACTTAATATTAGACGGATGTTTTTACACAACTGCCACTTTACAATAACGCGAAGAATTGTCTCGGTGGCTGGCGCGCATATTTGTCGTCGTCGCACAATGTGAAATTTTTTGCCCAATCAAAGAGGATAAAACATTTTAATTATTATTAAATTCTGCATCTTCTTTCTTTCGTTTAAAAAAAACTAATTTAAATTTATATACCTTAATTTGGAACTTACGTCTAAAGAATACAATTTACGTAAAAAAATCTTGAATACATTAAAAATAAAAAATAACTTATCTTTTATAATGTGAGAATGATGTTTTACTGTTTTAAATTAACGAAATTTAACTATTTAACATAATATAATATTAATAATTTTTTAGTTTTTGCTTTTTTAAATTTAAGACGTCAACTTTTTAATGAGAAAACAATAACACAAACTGGAATTTTATTTTAAAATTAATATGTGTTTGTAAAATATTTCGGAAAGATAAATTTTCTTTTGATCGCTTTTGAATTCTTTAAAAACCTCAGAATTCTTTTAGAATTTAGATCTAACCAAAAAGTATAAAGTATGTGAACATTTAGACGCAATGGGGTAAAACATTTTTCTTCTCCTAGATTGGTCAAATTTCATACTGTACGCCAACTTCGTTTTCCACCGGTGCGAAGAACACGGCGTTTTTCTCTATTATTTTTCCTCGCCGCAGAAAACACGACGGCGAACTCTGCGCACGGCGAATAAGTTCCACTGTGAACGCGAGGTCTGTTTCTCTCGATTACGGATTAATATACAGTCGAAATGTACCTACTATACGTAAATAAATAAATAAACAAATAAACAAATAGGTGGAAGAAAGTAAGGAAAGTGAGGCCGCTTCGACTGTTTGCTTTGGTTATTAAAAAATAAGTTATTTTGCGTTCAACATTTGTAAATCCATGCTATTCTTGCCAAAAATTAATTTGTGCATTATTTCTTTTCTAATATCTTGTTTGTTTAAGTGCTCGAACGAATCAGCAATTGTTTTTAACATTTCGTTACTTATTTTCTTTAAGAGCAAATTATATAACAGTTAAAATAGACTTATCAACAAAATGTAAAAAAAACAAATTTTTTCTTTAATTATAAAATATTTAATATATTTTAAATAATTATTTTGAGCAATACAAAAAATAAATATATAAAATAAAGTAATAAATAGTTTTGGTAGTTTTTGAATATTTTCTAACAATTAAAACAGAAAACGCACTTGGGTGTGGTGTCTAATGCCAAATGTGCGGAATATAACACTATTTCACTCACGCGCTGCCAGTTATAAATAAATAAACGCCAATTGAATCGGCTGCTGCGCAGCCTACGCGGCGACCCAAATTTAGACCAATACGTGAATGAATCTCTCATGTGTCTTATCGCTGGCCATCTGTATCTTTTATATACATCAAAATCCATTATTGTAATACAGTGTCGACACGTGTCTCTTCGACCGTTATTTTGTTGTCACAACAACGCAAATTAAAGTAATTTTTCTTTCTTTTTTTTTAGATAATTTAAGATAATTGTAAGATAATTTATACTCGTATAATAATTCAATCTCTTACAGCTTGAAAGCTTAAAACTTTAAACGATTTTAAATTTTATTATAATTTTTCTTAAATGTTCAAAAAGAAATTTTTAAATAAATTCTATATCTTTAATTTGTTCTTATCTATACGTATCATGTTTTTCACAACTTTCTTTGATTTTATATTTTTCAATTTTTTTTCAATTTTGAATAATTGACATGTTAAAAAACTGCGAGATTTTTATTAAGTTTATTATTTGTAAGATATAATTACAATCATCTTGAGAAACAGTTATTGCGACACTTGATTCTCAAACAAGCTCACTGACAAATAACAGTCATGTCAGTTATAAATGGCGGGACACTTGCTTCTGCAAGCTATGTAAGCTTTTGTATGTTTAAATTTAGAAATGAAACTTCACAACGAAAATTCGCTTTGAGATTGACTAACAGGTAAGAAGATGCTGATGATGATAAATCTCTTAGGAGTCCGAATCGCGCAAACAACAACAATTACATTGAATTTCTGCAGGAAGAAACAAGTCCGCCCTTTCTTGTTAGGGAAATAATAGATGACGGAAAGTATCAAACTCTAATTATTGCAATTAAAATTAGCAGGATTTTGGTCTCAAGTGAGAATCTCAAATAAATTAGTTTCATAGATTTTCTGAATTCACAGCATGTAGATCTTAACTTTCTTGAATAATGGTATCATCAGATATGGTCTCTCTCGAGCTTAGATCTTTCTTGAATCTTAGATACTGTAACTCATGAATTATTCCAGCTCCCTTGAATCCTAGGCTCCTCGTGCTTTTATATTCCTCGTACCCTGGTTAGTCTCTAACCCCTCATATTTGTTGCAAAGTAACCACCCCAGAATCCGGATTCTTTAAATTCTAGGTTCTCGGGATCCTAAATTATTTAGCGCTCGCCTATCTAGCGTCTCACATTCCAAGAATTTTTTGAAACCCTCTGGTTCACAGGTTCTTAATTCTTTTCATTCCAGCTGCTTCAGCAGCTGCAACATCCGCAGATCTCCTCTTATACTCAGAGTAATCTCGAACACGCTCTTTACACACCACTACCGCTGCACTTCAATAATTCCTCCACTCTTCGTGCCACAATTTTCACCTGATCCACCATCTCCAATATCTCGTGCTCCATGCTGACTATCGGCCAGCTAATTTAGCCACATCCCCTCCTCTTCTCTTATTCCCTTTCATTTCCAGTTTACTTGGTTGATTGACGTTAATGATCGTACGACTAATTAGTAATTTACGTATATATATTTTCTTCATAATACTTGCTTACAATTAGTGAAACCGAGGATGAAACTTCTATGACTGATTTCTCGTTTATTAATTGCCCTTATCTTAATGCATTCGAGCATATCTTTAGCATTTCTTTACTTCCTCTAATTCTGCTTAACTATGCTAGAATTCTAACGCGTTCTAAAAATTTCCAAAAAAGAATCCAAAGCGTTTACAATAAATCTTTACTGTATTCCCTATTTTCTTCTCTCGCCTGCTTTCGTCTATCATTTCTATACATTGTCCCTCTTCTTCTCTGTACACATATAGTCCAGGATATTATAAGAATATTATAAGAAAACCAAGCTCTATATAACATCTAGTATTCGCAGAGTTAAAATACGAAGCAATCTTTTTAGTTCTTTGATTCTTCTAAACATTCCTACCACTTGATTCTAGATACTTCCTCATTCCACTTTGTCTCTTTCTTTCTCTCTGTTCTTTCCTCTTTTTTCTCATTTCTTCATTCCTAATTACGATTCATCTGCAACCTTCCCCATCCGCGTCAGCACTTTGCGCTATCTTTCTTCCGCAGGATCTAGCTAAAGGCAGGATCACCATCTTCAAGCGGTTGATGCTCCATGACAGCTCCCGCCACCTGGTCCAGGGTTCATCCTCTCTCGTGCCCTGCGCGCTACCCCAGCCAGAGGGGGTTTTCGCATCTCGATGCCGCTTCTACCCCCGCGGCGGCAGCGAGGAAGCCGCCGGCGCGGCCGGCGCGCGTTATTGATTTGACAGGAATGACGGGAGGCGGAATGGCGCAGGAATCGATAAGGGAAGGTGGTGGTCCAAGCTGCTGGTGGTGCGCCGCGCGGGGATATGCGAGAGAGCGAGATTGCTGGTGCGACGTGCGCGCTAGAGCGAGTGGGCGAGCGAGCGTGCGAGCCGCGGCGAGCCGTGTGGGGTTGGAAGCTAGCGGGTGGAGGGAGTGACGAGGAGAAGAACGAGGGCTGGCGGGAGCGGCAAGCGAAGAGGAGGACCAGAAGAGAGAGGGAGCGGAGAATATTTTCATACTCCAGACTCCCGGCGTAGGTAGAAGATGGCAGCCGAGGCGTGATTCGGTCCGGGCAGTTTCCTCTCTTCTGGCCGCGCGCGCGCGAGAGTAGTAGGGCCGCAATCCGCTCCGGGTTTGAGAAGAAGAAGCCGCCGGAAAGTAGTGTGCTCTACCTTCGCGGTCGGTCTCCTCGTTCGTCGGTCGACGGTGCACGAAAACCCTGAAGGAAGCCGCCGGGAGATGATTTGAGAGAAAGAGGGAGAGAGAGAGAAAGAGAGAGAGAGAGAGAGAACGAGGAGAGAGAGACTGACTGACTGATACTAAAAGGGAAAGATAGACGGTCAGAGAGAGAGGGAAAGACGGAAAGAGAGAGAAGGAAAGAGATCCGCTTCGCTCGGCTACATTCCGCTCGCGCGACGTGTCCGACTCCGCTGTTTTTCTGTCGTTTTTTTCGTCGCCGCACATACACACACACACACAGCCACCCGCGCGAGCGCGCTATTTCGTATCTCAGAGATTGGTACACGTTCGGTAGCGCATCGTTCGGGAGAATCGGCTCGTGATCCGCTCCGATCCGCTCCGCTACGCTCCGTTCCGCTCGGCTCCGCGTGTCGCGTCTAATGATCAAGGAGGTGGTAGACGTCGGTGATTATGCGCGTAGTAATGAATAATCCTGTAAAGCCCGTTGGGATCGCAGCAGCCGCCATCGTCGCAGTGTTTCACGAGCGTCATGTAATATGGAATTAAACAATGTTGTTAAGACGTAAACATGTTCTGGCTACACTGTGGACTCTTTGTTCTCGTGATTGCCGTACGTGGATTTATTAGCAGCTTAGCCGACACCACATCCAAGAGAGGTAACGCCTGCCTGCCTTACCTGTCTGCCTTATAAGTTTATCTTGCCTGCCTGCTTGCCCGTTTCGGAGGTTGGTAGCTGAGCGTATTGATGGCTGGAGCTTAATCGGACAGAGTGTAATCGATCCGATATTTCAAAGGGTGCAAAGGGATCGTAATCTGCTAAAGGGAATTCGGATCCAACTGGTCCGAATTCATTATATCAAGCCATCCGGCGTCTGCCGGGTAGCGGTTACGATTAGTTTCGATTAGTTTCGAGAAAGATATAGTGACCTAAGTTTCGCGAACAATTTAACGTTTTATAATTCGAAATTTTTCATCGAGCTAAGTGAAAGCTACAGTCCTCCATACAAATGGCTGCGTGAATGAATGGATGTTGAGCGCTGATCGTTACGGAGGTATTGCACCTGCCTGCCTGCGCACCTTGCTTGGCCACCCTGTCCGCTTAATGGTCCTAAGGGGACTTAAGGAAGGGGGATTTAAGACGTTTAAAGATCCGATGAAGATTTAAAACCTCTAAATTGTAGATTTCATGCAAATAACTGTGATATTTTGCTTTATACGAGAGGACAATCTAATCCGGCAAGTAATGCGAACTCTATATAACTTATCGAATAGTCATGTCTGTTTGGCGGACTGGAATAATTTCCAGTGTGGAGGAATAATGGTTTGATTCATAATTAGATTGCGAATTATTCACCGAGTAATCACGTCTGGATAGTTAGGTGCAATCATATCAAGCAGTGTATGTTATTTGCCTCTAATTCTAAAGAGCGTTCATTATTATCGTTTTAGGACATTTCGCGGGATAGCTTTGCTACTTTTTACGTTCACAAAATTTACTAATATACTAATATTCTAAATTTACTAATATACTAATATTCTTGAATTTACAAGAACTATAAGATTTCGGATTTTAGATTATTTTCATTTCTTTGATTAACTTTTTTTTTAAACTTCTAGAATTTCGAATTTCTTAGATTTCAAGTCGTTTTGATCTTCGATTCATTGAATTATAGATTTCCCGAATGGAAGATCGTGATTTCATTTTCAACGTCAAAGAACCCATAATGTCGGGTTTGCGGGTCAGGAGATCTCGGAATTCGAGGAATCCAAGGAATCTAGGATTCAAATAACCTAATCTAATCTCTAGAAATTAGATGACCCTAGTGAAGGAAATTCGAAGTTTGCAGACTCTAGAATTCAAAGATTCGGGGAAATTAAAAAATTAAAAAAAATAAAAATATCCAATTGAAGATTTGGGATCTAAACACAATTTAATATTTGACAAAATTGTAAAACTTAAAATATAAGAAATTTAGATTATAGAAAGAGAGATGTATATATGTATATACGTATGTCAGATTTTTTAAATTTTAAAATAATAAAATCTAGAAATTCAGAAAGCTTGGGAACTTTGTTTTAAAATTTAAAAAGCCGAGTCTTCGTTGTTGCCAGGGCAGTGCGGAGCTCGCGAGCTCTCTGCATCCTCGAACAAGGATGAGCACCCTATCAGAGGGTGCAACTCTCGACCTTTTAAATTATCAAGTTAAATTTTTATACGCTCGACTTTTCAAATTCTGAAATCTTTATGGTTTATACTTCTTGGATCCTCGAATTTTCATAATCTCAATTTTCTGCACTCTTGAATTTGCATTTTTTTTTTTACTTTTTGCATACTTTGAACTTTGGCATTTTCAGCTCCATGAGTCTTAATATCCTCGAGTCCTTGCGTCACGTCTTAATCTCGCGAATCTTTTGGAAGCATCAACACTCCCATATTTCGAGAGATACGTTCCTTATCCCGTTTCCTCCTTTAACGGCTCTTCATATCCTGTAATCTACTCATTAATTATCGAGGCATATATATCTTCGTGGCGCATCCTTGCTCGTAATGATCGACCTTTATCCTTATCATGCATGACATCCTTTTCATTACATAATTTCATTATATGATTTTTTTTTCGTTGATAAAATGCGTATAGTTAACATAAAACAAAATGCAAGTTATTAATATAAACCGCAGTAACGATCTTTTTACATTAAAATAAATATAAATAAATATATTAGTAGTATCTACTTGAAATACAATATTTAAATATTTAATAATATTTAAACATGTTCAATTTTATAAAAAATTGTTAATTATCTCATAAAATTCGGTACAAGCATCCGAAATAATATCTGCGACAAATCTGGTGCCTCGTTACAGCTTTACAAAAAGAAGGGCATTTTATTAATGTCGCTAATTCGCACAAGACAAAAAAGAACTGCTAACCGCGCGCATGACGTCCCTCATAAGTATCGCGGATTCGCGTGTTTTGGTGGTTGGTGGTGGAAAATGCGAATATAGATCAACGGAACGACCGGCGCTTACAGCCGGTACGTATGCGGCACGCCGCGGATTTTCCCGAAACAGAGCCGCGGGAAAACGCGCGACGCCGCGCCGCGCGGCCGCCGATGCCGCAGCCGCTGCTGCCGCCGCCGCCGCCGCCGCCGCGCCGCGCCGGTCGTCGGAATGCGCGTAATCGTTACGTACATTTCCGTCGGGGGCTTCAAATCCCGCTGCTGCATTATTCATAATGTTATCGCGCGGAATTACTCCTGCGCCCCGCTCGCGCTCGTCCGCTCACTTTGCATACCGTTAGACGCCGCGCTCGTCGCGCGCTGCGTATAAAACCGCGAGCACGCGAATGCACGCTTTGCACATGCATCATCGCGGCTTATCGCCGCCGTCGATTTCGAGCGACGACAACGATGGCGTGATGATGATGCGCCGCGTACATGCACCGTGATACTTATAATACAAATATTCTTATCGCGCTTATATCAAAAGCTCCTCCCGTAATTTTATGAAATATTCTGAAAATTGAAGTTTATCTTCGTACGATCTCAGTGTATCTTTAAAAGTAGAATTAGAAAAAAAACAGCAGTTTCTTTGAATTGTACGTTAAGATTGTACATTAAGATTGCAGTCGAGTGATTCAATTACTCGTACTATATATGTATCTGGAAAATGTTATCGCGCGCGGCACTGTCGCTACTCAGTGCTCTAGCTACGTTTATCTGTGTAAAATATCGCTAAGGCTGTACCAGTATAACAGTCATAAAATATTTATAAGCTTCTTACAAGCTAGTTTCGAAAATATATAGGCTGCCGTAAAGCACCAATAAATATTTTAATGACAGTTTTAGCGTTCTCTCGTGTGAAGAAGAGAGTGGAGAGTGAGAACAATGAAAATTAACGTCTCCTTCAATCACCCTCCTTGGCTCTACTGTTTGAACTGTTCAAAACTGAAAGAAAAAGTCTAACGGTGTAGAAATTATAAACGGAAATAACACAATTTTTACTTTTAAGTCAATTTCGGGCAAACTTTATCTCCACAAAAATTTTCCTTTCGGGGTCTCAGTTACAAAGTCACTTAACGCGAAAACTGCACGAGTTATGTAGCAGGATGGCGCCTAATCAAATTTTCGTTAGGGGAAGATCGATATCATATATTGTTTGGGAGAAGCCATAAATGCGACACACTTTCGGGAAGATACGCATTTATGTTCACAAGGTATTTCCATAATCGTAAAACATATTCTTCAAGCCTTAGGTGTTACCTTCGGTATACGCATCTCGATGAAAAATTCACAAGTAGTTGCATGTTACATGATATTTATCAGTAGCTGTGAAAAATGTCATTTGTAAGCGATATCTCATCCTCTAATGTTCTTCGTGCCGGTACTTTGAAAATATAAAGGTGCATTAAGTATGAATAATTGATAATCGTAAAAATAATAATCGTAACAAATCTCCAAATAAACATTTTCGATGATCAATCATTTTTTTAAAAATAATTCTTTTCATAATGGCAGTGTTAAGCGTATGTACAAATTTCATAAGATTACTCACAAGAGAGATCAAGATCTCTCTTGAGTACAGAATATGGCATCGGTTATAAAAAAAAGGTTGCAGCGGGTTAAAGCGGGTGAATATTTTGTTTACCCATTGTACATGAAATCAATCAATCTGTATCCTGCAATTAATCAAAGACGTAGGACGGGAAGACGGCTCGTCGAACGAATTCCCTCGGCCAGGACCCACGAGATTGAAATGGCAGCGCGCCAGTTCTAATTTATTGGCTTTTAATACGTGAACTCGCGGCCGATTTTGCAGTTCAACGAAACAGAACGATAGATCTTCGAAAGATCGAAGTAATGCACACGGATTTAATGCGAAATTTATCGCCGCTTGAGATGGCAAGATTTAAGAAGCCAAGGATCAAATTTATTAATTAAATTTTCAGAAAATTGAACGTACAATGCAGATAATATTTCAAATAAGCGACTTTCCTTTTATTTCTTTTTTATCTAAAGTCATATTGTACATCAGCAATAATATATTTTTAGTAAAATGCCAATAAGTACGAAACAATTGTGAAAAACGAGCTGGTATAGCGAATGATTGCACGGTAAAGACGTAGTCTCTGGATAAGTAGTTACTGGTTACCCATTCATTCGGGCATTCATATGCCTACATACCTACTCGTTTAACCGCTCAGCTAGTGAGTACATCTTCACTATACCATTATCCGCGATTTTCGCTCGCCAGCGTTTTCCTTTACAGCCTTAATACTTCTTGCCCAACATCAGTAATGTATAATTTAGTACCTTGTCTTTTTAAATAAACAAGTTTTCTAATATTTGTTTTTCGAATATGTAAAATTTATCGAATAAAAATAATCGATATAATGAGATATTTCCCCGATATTTAAAAAGATTGTCTAGATCTAGCAAGCCATCCTTTATCTATGAAATTTTTTCACTAGTGAATCAATATTTTCTTAACCCTTTGTATCACGAATTTTTATATCAGACTGATTTTTTTGAAACTTTGTACCCGGGGATTTTTCAGGTCACTGATTATACGAATCAAAAGTTAGAATTTTAAAATTCAAAATTTTTCATTTTTGATACATCATACTGGTTCTGCGATTTTGGATTAAATTTGGAA